TGTTTTTCTTCTTCAGATTCGATTTCAGGAGCACCTGTTGCTGGGGTCTTTTCTTCATCAGATTCGACCTGAGGTTTCGCTGTCGCTGATTCTACTTCTTCTGACTCAATTACAGGTTTAGCTGTTGCAGGTTGTTTTTCTTCTTCAGATTCGATTTCAGGAGCACCTGTTGCTGGGATCTTCTCTTCATCAGATTCGAACTGAGGTTTCACTGTCGCTGATTCTACCTCTTCGGACTCAATTACAGGTCTAGCTGTTGCTGGTTGTTTTTCTTTTTCAGATTCAGTAACAGGAGGAATCTTTTCTTCATCAGATTCGATCTTAGGTTTGGCAGTCGCTGATTGTTCCTTCTCTTCGGATTCGAACTCAGGTTTAGCAGTAACAAATTGTTTTTCTTCTTCTGATTCAACGTCAGGAGCGGCTGTTGCTGCGATCTCGGATTCAACTTCAGGCTTAGCTGTTGCAGATGGTTTATCAGCTTCGACTTCAGGAGCGACTGATGCTTGGATCTCGGATTCAATTGCAGGCTTAGCTGTTTCTGGCTGTTCCTTCTCTTCGGATTCAATTTCAGGCTTAACTGTTGTAGGTTGTTTTTCTTCTTCAGATTCAGTCACTGGAGTGACTGTTGCTGAGATCTTTTCTTCATCAGATTCGACTTGAGGTTTAGCTGTCGCTGATTCTACCTCTTTTTCGGATTCAATTTCAGGTTTAGCTGTTGCAGGTTGTTTTTCTTCGTCGAACCCGGCTGATGCTGGGTACGCAGGCTTAGCTGTCGCTGATTGTTCCTCCTCCTCGGATTCGATTTCAGGTGCAACTGTTGCAGAAATCTTTTCTTCATCAGATTCGACCTGAGGCTTAGCTGTCGCTGATTCTACCTCTTCTACGGATTCAATTTCAGGTTTAGCAGTTGCTGGTTGTTTTTCTTCTTCAAATTCAGTCACAGGAGCGGCTGTTGCTGAGATATTTTCTTCATCAGATTCGACCTGAGGTTTGGCTGTCGCTGATTCTACCTCTTCGGACTCAATTTCAGGTTTAGCTGTTGCAGGCTGTTTCTCTTCTTCGGATTCGACTTCAGGAGCGGCTGTTGCTGTGATCTCAGATTCAACTGCAGGCTTAGCTGTCGCTGGCTGTTCTTCCTCTTCGGATTCAATTTCAGGTTTAACTGTTGTAGGTTGTTTTTCTTCTTCAGATTCAGTCACTGGAGCGACTGTTGCTGAGATTTTTTCTTCATCAGATTCGACCTGAGGTTGGACGGTCGCTGATTGTTCCTTCTCATCGAATTCGATTTTCGGAGCACTTGTTGCAGGTTGTTTCTCTTCTTCAGATTCAACTTCAGGAGCGGCTGTTGCTGTGATCTCAGATTCAACTGCAGGCTTAGCTGTCGCTGATTGTTCCTCCTCTTCGGATTCGATTTCAGGTTTAGGTGTTGCAGATTGTTTTTCTTCTTCGGACTCAGACACAGGAACGGCGGTAGCTTGGGTCTCAGATTCAATTTCAGGCTTAGCTGTTGCAGGTTGTTCTCCTTCCTCTGATTCGACATGAGGTTTGCTTGTGGCCAGTTGTTCCTCTTTTTCAGATTCAGTTACGGATTCGGCTACCTCAACTAAAGGTTTGCCCGTGGTGTGTTGCTCTTCCTTGACTGTATCTATTTCCGGAACAGCAGTGACAAATTCTTGTTCATCGGCTACGTGTTGTGGTTTAGCTGACGTTGGTTTCTCTTGTTCCTTTTCGGGTTTCGATGTTGCTGTTGCTTTTTCAGCTTCGGTTTCTGGAGCAGCTGGAGAAGGTTGTTTCTCCTTATCTGCCTCATCTGGTTGAGCTTCCTTGCTGATTTCAGGTTTCGCAGTCTCTTCCTCGGCTGTAGGCTCATCTGTAACTGCAACCATGTCTGCGCCCACAAATTGTGGTTTCAAAGCGGGTTCAACGGTTATATCCTCAATATTTTCGCCTTCTTCACCAGAAGCTTCCAACTCGTCCTTGGATGGTTCAATGGGCTTAATAGCACTTTCAGTAGTGCTATGCAAGATGTGATCTGTAACGAATTCTGCAATATGTTGTACTTTGTGTTCAGTTGTGGTCTCTTCTTCTGATTCCACTGATGTATCGCTTTCCTCCACTGATTCTAAATCAGCTATTACTGCTGGAGCAGGAGTAACATTTATGTCTTCTAGAGATGGTACAATAGGTTGAACGGTGGCTTCTTCGATGTCCATGTCCAAGCGAGGAGGAATTGTAACACCTTGGCTTTCGTCCTCAGTTGGTGCAATAGTGGTGTGTTTATCTGCTTTATGAATCGCAGAGTCATTCGTTTCTTTCATGCTGTCATCAAAACCAATTCCAGCGTCCACTCCCGGAGCAGCAGTACCCTTCTCGAATTCTTCTTCGACCGTAGGAGCGGATGTGACTTTTTCATGATCAACATCCTGAGCTCCAGGAGCAGATGCAACTTCTTGAGGTTGTTCAGCACTTGGAACAGCCGTAACTTTAGTTGCAGATTCGGCTTGAGGGGTGACCGTGGTTCTTTCAAAGTCTTCCTTTTCGGGTTCTTCTGCAATCGGAGTTGCAGTGACCTTTTCAATTCCTTCGACATCGAGGGTAGGAGCGAGAGTAGAACTTTCCAAAAATGCATCACCTCCGACACTCGGAGCAACGGTTTCTTTTTCAGATACCGCACTACTAGGAGTAACAGATACTTTATCGGCTTCTTCGATTGCAGGAACTTCGTCAATTTCGATTGTGGGCGCGGCAGTAGATATTTCAGCTTCGTCGACTTCAGGAGCGATTGTAGCCTTCTCAGCACCTTCCTCAATATGGTCAACATCACTAGGCTTTTCAACTTTTTCGGTGCCAGGAGCGGCGGTAACTTTGTCGATTTCCTCAGTTTCAGGAACTTCATCCTTTGCGAATCCAGGAGCGACGGTACTCTTTTCAAGTTCTTCGATATCAGGAACAATAGTAACCTTGCCCACACCTTCGAATACAGGAGCCGGAGTAGTTTTCTCCAAAATTTCACCTTCATCGTGTTCAGATGCGACAGGTACCTTTTCAGTGGCTCTATCAATATCTTCAATTTCTGGTGTGCGGGTAGTTTTCTCTGCGGCTTCGGAATAAGAGATGTCAGGAGAGGCCGTGGGTTTTTCGGCTCCTTCGATTTCTTGTGAAGGAGCAACTGTTGACTCTTCAGTCTCCTCCAAAGTAGGTGAAGCAGTGATCTTTTCAACACTTTCGAATTCAGGAGCAAGAGTAGATTTCTCCACACCTTCAGCATCCTGTGCACCAGGACCTGCGCTAACATGTTCAATTTCTTCTGTAACTGAAGCAGATGTAATATCTTCGCCTTCCTGCTGATCACTGATCGCTTTAAGACCTTCCTCAATTTCGGGAGCAGCAGTGACCTTTTCGGCTTCTTCAACGCTTTCACCTTCTGATGTAACTTCTCCACTTCCCTCAGTTTCTTCAATTTCAGGAGCTGCAGTAGGTTTGTGAACAACTTCGATTTCAGGAGTAGCAGTAACCTTTTCGCCTTCTTCAACAGTCTCTCCTTCAGGTGTAATCTGTCCGCTTCCCTCCGTTTCTTTGATTTCAGGAGCTGCAGTAGCTTTGTGAACACCTTCGGTTTCAGGAGCAACAGTGGCCTTTTCGCCTTCTTCAACACTCTCACCTTCAGATGTAATCTGTCCACTTCCTTCAGTTTCTTCAATTCCAGGAGTTGCAGTAGTTTTGTGAACACCTTCGATTCCAGGAGCAGCTGTGACATTTTCTCCTTCCTCAATGCTTTCACCTTCTGATGTAAGCTGTCCGCTTCCTTCGATTTCCTCGATTTCAGGAGCTGCAGTAGTTTTGTGAACACCTTCGACTCCAGGAGCAGCTGTGACCTTTTCTCCTTCCTGAATACTTTCGCCTTCAGATGTAATCGGTCCACTTCCCTCAGCTTCTTCGATTTCAGGAACTGCAGTACCTTTGTGAACATCTTCGATTTCAGGAGCAACAGTGGCCTTTTCACCTTCTTCAACCTGTCCACTTCCCTCGGCTTCCTCAATTTCTGGAGCTGCAGTACCTTTGTCAGATATTTCGATTTCAGGAGCAGTAGTGACTTTTTCGGCCTCCGCAACACTTTCGGTTTCCTTTTCATCTGTATCCCTGGTAGGAGCGGCAGTACCCGATTGTCCTTCAATATCCAAGTCAAGACGTGGAATACCAGTAAATGATGAAATTTCTCCTTCATCTGGCGCTTGGGTAACCTTTTCAGTTTCTTCAATTACAGGGGCAGAAGTGACCTCTTCAAGTTCTTTATCAACTGGAGCAGCGGTAGCTTTGTCGGTTTCTTCGGCGATGGCAGCAATAGTTGTTTTCTCAATTTCTTCGACAGTTGGAGTAGCGCTAACCTTCTCACCTTCCTCGACAGTTGGTTCAGCAGTAACCTTTTCTACGCTTTCGTACAGAGGAGGGGATGTTGTCTTTTCTATACCTTCAGAACCAGGAGCAGAAGTTTCTTTCTTTTCTTCTTCGGAGGTAGGAACAGCAGAGGCATCAGTACTAGTCTCCACATCTTCAACAGCGGGAGAAGCTGTTGTTCTTTCCCCTTCTTCTGGAATAGTTGCACTAGTTGTCTTCTGAATTTCCACCTTTTCTTCTTCTTCGGCAGCAGGAGCGGAAGTAATATTTTCAATTTCTTCGTCAATAGATTCGGGTTCTTTAGCGGCAGTAGCACTAGTTGTCTTCTCGATTTCATCGCTTGCTGGAATAATTGTAACATGCTCAACTTCCTTCTCTTCTTCGCTAGATACAGGCGTTGAAGTAGTCTTTTCAATTCCACCAACAGCTGGAGCAGAAGTGATTTCCTCGAATTCTTCATCCACAGGAATAGGAGTGGGCTCCTCAGCTTTTCCACCAATTGTCTTTTCGGGTTCTTCAGAGGCTGGAATAGAATGTCCCTCCTCATCGATACTAGGTGCAGCGGTAACCTTTTCAGTTTCTTCAACGCCAGGAGCAATAGTAGCCTTATCACTTTCTTCATCCACAATAGTAGTAGTGGATTCTTCAGCTTCTTCACTAATAGCTTTCTCAGGCTCTCTAGTGGGTGGAGTTCTAGTCGTCTTCCCAATTTCTTCGGTTGCGGGAACAGTTGTGACACCTTCCTTATCTTCTTCGCCAGAAATAGGAGGAACGGTAACCTTTTCAATACCTTCGATACCAGGAGCAGAAGTAACCTCATCGCTTGCTTCTTCAGAGGATATGGCAGTAGTATCCTCTGAAATTCCAGGAGCTGTTGTTGGTTTGGCTTGTCCTTCAGCAATTGGTACAGCAGTAGCTGCTTCAGTTTCTGTTGTAGGAATCGAAGTAACCTTCTCTGGTATATCTTCCACTGAGGTAGAGGTGACCTTCTCAGGACCTTCAGAAACAGGGGCGACTGTAGTCTCTTCAATATCCTCACCGACTGTAACCGGTTCCTCCTTTTCACCTTCATCGAATGTTGGACGAGATGTTGGCTTCTCGACCTCCTCAGAAACTGGTGACGCTGTTGCCTTTTCGACGTCTGAAACTACTTCTTCTTCATTTACACCAGTAACATTTTCACCTTCATCGAATGTTGGACGAGATGTTGGCTTCTCACGTTCCTCAGAAATCGGTGAACCTGTTGTCTTTTCGACGTCTGAAACTGATTCTTCATCAGGTACGGCAGAAACCTTTTCACCTTCATCGAATGCTGGGCGAGATGTTGACTTCTCAAGATCCTCAGAAACTGGGTAAACTGTTGCCTTTTCGACGTCTGAAACTACTTCTTCTTCAGACACACCAGTAACTTTTTCACCTTCATCGAATGTTGGACGAGATGTTGGCTTCTCGACCTCATCAGAAACTGGCGATACTGTTGTCTTTTCGACGTCTGAAACTGATTCTTCATTAGGTACGGAGGAAACCTTTTCACCTTCATCGAATGCTGGACGAGATGTTGGCTTCTCAAGTTCCTCAGAAACTGGTGACACTGTTGCCTTTTCGACGTCTGAAACTACTTCTTCTTCAGGTACACCAGTAACCTTTTCACCTTCCTCAGCAGTTGGAGCAACTGTCGCCTTTTCAGTTTCAGTGATTTCAGGAATTTCGTGGTCAGTAGATGAAACACCTCCCTGTTCTTCAGCACCAACAGTAACTTTCTCGCCTTCCTCGACAGCTGGAGCAACTGTAGTCTTTTCAATTTCAGTGATTTCAGGAACTTCGTGATCAATAGTGGCTTTGTCTCCTTCCACGGTTGGATAACCTTCTTCTTCAGGTTCAGCAGTAACCTTCTCAACTTCCTCAGGAACAGGAGCAACAGTCGCCTTTTCAATTTCAGTAATTTCTGGAGCAATGTCTTCTTCGACAGATGGAACACCTTCATGTTCAGGCGCAGCAGTAATCTTCTCAACTTCCTCAGCAGCTGGAACACTAACGTGTCCAGCGTCCACGATAGGTGCGACAGCAGTCTTCTCTGGTTCAGTTTCAGTAGCAGGTGCGATAGGTGAAGCTGTAGCCGTCTGTTCCTCTCCACTTTCGGTAATCGATGCGGATTGGTCAATTTCTGCAGCAGCTGTACCTTCTACAATTGGTTCTTCTTCTTCCTTGACATGAGACATTGGCTGCTCAGTAGGAGCAGCAGGTATGTGAATATCTGAGATAGGAGCAACTGTTGTCTGTTCTTCATCTTGTGCAATGGGCGCAGTAGTTGCTGCAGTTTCTTGTGGTTCACAGACGTATACGGGACAGCATTTCGTAGAGCTTGCTGGATCGATAACACACCTGGTAATATCTGCTGGGATATTGCACTCAACCTTCTGACAAACAACAATGCTGCTAATACATTTGCAAGATATATCACACTCGTCCGCCGTTGGTATGATTGTATTATTTTCGTAAGTTCTGTGGCCGACCAAACAGTCACCCTCTCCTGGTATAACAGCTGGCAATTGCATATCGGGTATTTCCTCTTCTGAACTTGAGATTTCTGTAGATTGTTGTGTTGATACCTCAGCTTCTGCAGACTCAGTTGATTCCTCGCTGCCCTCCTTACTGACCTCTGTGCTTGTTGGTTTCTCTTCCTCCTCTTCAGATACAACAACAATTGGTTGTTTAGTGGTGGCTTCTTGTTCCGCAACTTCTGTGGACTCCTCAGCACTTTCTTGCTCAATAACGGGCCGCTGCGTAGTGGATTTCTCTGGCTCCTCTTCAGATACAATAATGGTTGGTTGTTTGGTGGGGGCTTCTTGTTCCGCAACTTCTGTGGACTCCTCAGAACTTTCTTTCTCAACAACGGGCCGATGTGTAGTCGTTGGTTTCTCATGTGCAGCAATAGTTTCCTCAGATGTTTCTGTTGATTCCTCACTTTCGACTGTCTCAGCGCTTGTGTCCTCAACGGATTCCTTATCAGCTTTCATCGGTGTGGATACAGTGGTTGGTATTTCAGCGATTGCTGGTTGAATAGTTGCTGCTGTCTCATCATTAATCGGTTTACCTGTTTCAGTATCAATTCTGTCGGCAAATTCAACTGTTGGCTTATGTTCCACATGAGTACTTGGTACTGTAGTGACCTCTTCCTCAGCGGCTGGCTCAGCGGTAACCTTGTCATGCTCGTCAATGTCAATACCAATACGTTTGGTGCCATCAGGTCCAGCTGTTGTTCCATATACGTGCTCAACAGCCTCAGTACTTGTCGGTTGCTCTTCCGTCTTCTGTTCTTCAATAGCAGCTTCAGTCGCAACTTCAGATTTAACGGTGGTAACACGCTCAATATCCTCAATGCCTTCTTCCTTTTGTTCTTCTTCAGATTTTGCTGTTACCGCTGTTTCGGTGGCACCAATTGCTGCCACATCAGGAGTTGAAGTAGTAACTTGATCGGCAGGTTTACTTTCCACTCCTTGTTCGACTTCGACCTCGGGCTTATCTGTGGATATCTTTTCTTCTTCATCTTCATCAATGTGTTGTTGCAGTTCAATATCCTCGACTGGAATGGCGCCATGCAGGTCCTTATCGGGGGTAGCAGTAACTGCTTCTTCTTCCTTAGCATACGGTACAGTAGTGATCTCAAAGGCTTCGGTTGTAGCTGAGTCATCTTCGCAGACATAATTGCTTGGACAGCACTCACCTTCGGCTGGTGGCAATGCATGACAACTCTTACCATTGCTGGCCAACATTGGCATCTCACATTCTTGTACAGCACAAACAATATCTCCGCGCATACAGTAGCAATGTTCGCAGGCACTCTTGCCAGTAATGGACGCGCCATCGGCGTAGACCTCGCCATTGTGTACACAATCGGTGGAGACTGAGGGCGACATGGTGGTTGTGAGTATGAAACCAGGCGTTGGACGTTCGGTGGTGGTGGTGGATGTGGTCGACGAATGATCCTCCAATTCCAAAATGTCATTCTCGTGATCTAAATGTGTGAGAAAAGGCGAAAGAGAGTTGCAAATTAATGTGGGCTGCAGCAAAATTGCTGCGGTTGTAAAATCACTGGCAAACTTACCGCAATTGTAACGCACGGGACAGCATGAACCCTTGTTGTAGATGGGCGTGCAACCGTCAATATGCAGCGTACATTCTTGCATTAAACACGAAGTGCGATTCTTGATGCAGTAACACAGCTCGCAGGGTTTATTTGGGTTCGATGGTACTTGTGCGCCCTCTGGGTAGAATTTACTATCGATGCTGCAGCCATATTTCTCGGGAATGCTGAGCTCAGTGCCTGGTTCGGGTGCATGATGCGCAATATCAACTGGTACTGTGTGTGGAGTAAAAGAAATGGCATGTGAGATTTGTATAAAAGCAACGCAGCGTCTAATGAATTGAGCTGAAATGATTAGCGTGGTAACTTACCCTCGGGACATGTGATAATCGGACAGCACTGATCCTCACGCTTCTCCACAATGCAGTCGTGACCGATTGGCTTCGTGAACGGGCAGACACGCAGATAACACATGAGCATCTTATTATGGCAGGTACAATTCAGGCAGGGTTCATTCGTCAATATTCTATCGCCTTCATTGTAGTGATTGTAATTGTAATAACAGCCTTCTGCAAAAATGTACAAAAGAGCGAAATTGGAGGTAAACAGATTGTAATAAGAGATTCAATATGATTACATAGATCATTAAAGAGGATATGTAAAGTAGTGGAAATTAATAGAATATCAGGAATGTCTCACATATACCGCCTGAAGTCTATTTGTATATACTATAGTGATAGATCTTAGATAGACCAGAAAAGGTTAAAATCTTATTGGGTATTTGGTTGAGAGTTTCACCGCCTCTGGAGACATAACAAGACGATTTGATTTCAAATGTGATGGACCATTGCTCGCAATAATTGTTCTCAAAATGATGTTTTTAAAGTCGGTCACCAACAATACTCGAAAACGGCTAAGCCGATTAGTCTCAAATTTTAACAGAGCTTCTTAAATAAATTTTATAGTAATAACCGACGATTTTTTTTCACCGATTAATATTTTTTTATTACTAGTTTAAAGCTGAAAGTTTGATAAAAAATCGAGTTTTTTTTCCACAAACCACCATTTCGTCTACAAATTTTATTTTGATAATTCCTTCGATTTATTAGGTACTAATTTTAACAGTACATTAACAATATCTGTTTATTTTTTAATTTCCGGAGATCCGGTTCAGAGATATAGTGGTCACCGCAAAATGTCTTTTTTGCGAGGAGCTCCCGGAGATCAGCGGCAGTTCCAACTAAATATTTTTACTAATACTTTGTCTGAAAATTCTGTTGAAAGATACCATATTATGTGTAAAAATTTTTGGATCAACAAATATACAAGTTTTTTCGCTTTTTTCGGCCTTCTAACTGTGTGTTATATATAATATATGTATATAGAATTAAATGCCAAAAGACACTTTGACCTTTGATTTTGCTTTCCTTTTGCTTAATTACAGTGGCCGAAGTCAGTTTTGCAAAACGTTGAGGATCTGAGCTAAGTTCTAACAATAACACACAAAAAAGGTTGTCCCACGAAAGCGGGCTATTTTATATTTCAGAAGCAGTTTTTCTTAACCAAATTGGTTTTCACAAAAAAGCGAGAAAATAACATTCACCACCTAATAGGAACATGTTTGGCTGAAGCTTGATATTGAACTTTAAAAGGAGTTCAGAATTAGTGCAAATAGTAGATCAGCGGAAAGACTTTTTTGAGTTATTATATTATCTGTCGGTTTAGTCAATATTTCAACCCACGACTGGTCAAGTAGTAATCACTACATCCATTCATTTTCTTTATATAAAGTGATGAGTGATTGAGTAGTTTAACAGATCGTCTTCTATTGGACGACTTCTCGGTTGCTTTCATCGGTTCTCTATACCTCTATATTTCTATACTATACTTGCTTTATTTCTCTCCCTTTCTTTCTCTTTTCCTATCTCAGAAATCTAATTCAGAAGCGCTCGGCAGCATAAAAAAAGTATTTTAAAAGCAATTTTTCTTCAAAACATTTTAGAATTATTAAATTAAAAAGTTTATTCGCCTAATTACAAATTACCATTATTTATTATAACTGTCGTGTGTATGTATGTGTACTCGTAATTATAGCTTCATTAAATAACCGAGATTCATTACACTTTCAGCCACAAATAATTCATGTTTGTTGCCTACACTTAATTAATCTGACACATAATGTAATTGTAATTAACTAAGCGCACTACATTAACACTGCAACAACATCAGAGGCAACAAATGTAATAAATTAATAAGCCATTTGGCCCAACTACACGCGACCACATTAATGTCAAATAAAAACAAAAAATAAATGCTATTTACATACAATAACGAACAGCTGATTAGTGTAAATAGCTACCCACACACACACACATATACATCCACATTACTGTAAACAAAACTTGTGAACAGCCAAATAAATAAATTGTGTGAGAATAATTTATGATTTATGAAGGCACGTGAGCTCGGATAGTAGAGGAGTGGAGAGGAGGGCATGCTAATTTACAGTTTATTTTCATTTGTCAACAATTAGACAATGAAACAGTGAAATAATGAACAAAAGTGAATTGTCATAACTCACTGACACCAAACAAACATTAAATAGCACTTTAAGTGGCGGCGGCGAACTCGTGTTTAAACAGATTTGTATCAAATAAAAAAACAAATCTGACAAAGCAAATGTATAAAAAATTAAACAAAGCGTAGTAATAAAAATAGAATATCGCGCGCTGCAATAAAACGCCATAAAAGTAAACCATAATTTACGACTTTTGTGCGGGTGGCGGGTAGATAAGGGGCGGTGTTAGACAGACAACTAGTTAAAGTTGGGATTGTGTGTTGATTTTCTCCTCTCGCCTATGCGCTTAGGAGCAATTGAATGATTGAATGAACTGAGCTGTCAAATCGTTTAGCGTTTGGCGTGTCCAGGTCATAATGTAGTTCTATATAAATATGTTTGTACGTATGTATGTGCGGTGCTAAGTTATAGCGATCAGACAAGCTAATGTCATTATTTTTGTGATTTTAGCTGTTAGATTTGGTGATTTAGGTGTGACTGTCATAAACAATTTGGACAGTGTTTGTTGTGTTTACTTTACTTATCATTGTTACCAATGTTTGTTTATGTTTATTCTTAATTAATTTGTTTTTTGTATTCCAATTATTTAATTTTTAACTTCTAAGTTTTTTTAATTAATTTATTTTATTTTATTTTTTTTAATTTTTTCTATATTATTTTAGTTTTTTTTGGTTAATTTTTGTCTTAATTTTTTAAATTAATTTTTAAATTTAAATTTTTTTTAATTTTGCACTTTTTTGATTTTTAATTTTTAAATTATTTTAACTTTTACGTTTGTTTTGAGTTATTTTTATTTATTTGTAAATTTCTTTTACCGCTTAACAATTAAATTGTGACTATTTATGCTTCATTATAGTAATACATTATTTACTAAGTGGCAATTTAAATCGTGTAAATGAGCTGTTAATGTACGCTTAGAGGCATTTAATGTGTTTATAAGTGGCAATCATCATTAGATAATCGCTTCGTACATTTATTTCAAATTATCATTAGAAACTAGTATTATGAACATGATTTAAATGCAATGCATGGAAAAATATGAGCTTAGATGTTTGGTACATATTGAGTTTAGGACAGGATTCTTAGAAAAATGTGAAGGCCGAACCCGAAATTGCCTGGTCATGATATTACTGTGTATACAGTTTCAACCTACGAGTATCTCTTAGCTGTAGCTTCTTAAAAGGAGTGCGGTGGAGTTATGACAAGTATGACGTATCCTTTAAAGTTGAGTATAAATATACGAACTAATTCACTATAAGATATGCATATCTGTCTGACAAACTGACTGATAAAAATTAAGTCCTTATAAGGAAAACTTTTTTATTGGACAAGTCAAAAACAACGCTACGATCTACGAATAAATTGTAAAGATCGGACCGTCATGGAATATATGTAGCTGTCATACAAATTGACAGAGTCAATACAAAGATTTTTTTCTGTGAAGGGTATTATAGCTTCGCAGCAAGAAAGGTTACCTCTTTTCTGTTTTTAATATCAAATTTGGATAACTCGGTCAAAGCCTTAAGAGTTGTAGTTTTTTTGCTGCCTGAATTTTTCTCTGGCAATGCAATAGCTAATAGATAAAATTAAATTTCAAATAATAAGCTACAAATATCATATAAAAGCAATCCCTGATTTAGTCTATTTGGTTTGACACCAAAGCTTTGAATACTACTTCGCGGTGGTCTTATGCAGAACCAACTATATAGTTCGAAACCTTTCAAATAAGCCTAGCTGCATAACTTTTCATGTTGATTAAGTGTTTAAGGTTGCTTTTCCAGTAAAGATCAGTTGAAATAAGTAGGGTTTCAAAGTGCTTAAAAATATGAAAACTGCTAATAAAAAGAGCAAAAGTTGATAATATAAGTGAACTCATACATAGTTTTTGCTCTGTGAAAACGAACTAGTTTTTCTAGAAATCACATAATCTGCGAATTTTTATATTTTGGTAGGTGACTTAGCTAAATTATGGGTTTAAACTTTGATAAGATCTTGCTTTATATGCGTTTGTGAGACAATGGTAAAATGCTTTTCATATTATAGTATATATATTTGTGGCTACAGAACGATATAGGTTCAGTTTTTGGAAAACTCACTTTTAGCAGCTCACAAAACGACACGTAGATCAAAAACTAATGAATATTTTTACATGAAATTTGACATAAATGTGACTGACAGTACAACCAACCTAAAAAAAAAAATAATACTCCAAATCCTTCGACGCGCGCAATTTAAATTCAAATGTCACCTTATTTTTTGGGCACAGGTATATTCGAGAATAATGTCTGTAAATTTCAAAGTAATTCGGTAACTTTTTTTGGAGTAATGAGCGTAACTCTAACCGTAACCCGGAGTAGGAGGAAAACTTTAAATGGATTTTTCTCGATACGATATTTTCAAATAGTAAGGTAAGGAATAAAGTTTCTAAAAAAATTTCGATTTTTGAAGTCAAATTTTTCGTGAAAAAAAGCTTTTTTTTTGGGAAGGCAGCATTTTGTCTAAAATCAAAATGTTTACTATTTCTGCGATCATTACCTGTATATCTATCCTAAAAGTAACTCTTTTGGCTTTCTTTTTTTTATTTAAGATAATTTGGATGAGAGATATCTTCCTCACCGTCAAACACTTTTCTATGGAGGACTTTCGAGAAATCTTCCACAGGAACGACGGGATCCAATACTTTTATTAATAAAATATGAATTCTTAGAATAGCTTAAATTCGCTAAATGCTCATATACATGTAGCTCAGAAAAAATTTACAGAAAAACAAAAACAATTTTTTTCGAAATTACACGTGGATATAACCCCTGCAATTATTTAGTTATTTTTTAACCATAATTACCTGTGTATTGTTGAATTTCAGTTGCATCTTGTAGGGGAGCTGCAAGGATAAGACAAAATAAAATATTGATTAGTAAGAATTAATTTTTTTTAATTTTAATTAATTTTTTTTTATTGTTGAAAAT